GCTCCCGAGGAATTTAAAGCTCTCGGCCCGGAAAAGTTGGGAGGAAAGGAAATACTGAGCGCCTTGTTATTCGTCTCCTACACACACCTCGCTGGATATCGCAAAATGTTTTACACTGATGAGGGAGGTTTTCAGTAACTGCCACCGTCAAAATGCATTCACGGAAGTCACATTTTTCACAGATGAAGGTTGGTATATCTTCTCGCTTGAGGTTATTACTAAAAAACGGTTAGACCTAATTAACTATCATTTTTTTCATATTAATGCAGTCTCTGGAGTTGTCAAGTTCAGTGTCAAATTCACTGAATTACTGTGCAGCAGCTGGGACTTCAATTGTATCGAATACTTATCCCTGTATCAGAAACAGAGATAAGTCAGCTGCGTCCACAGTGGTCATCAGTGGTTAGAGTGGGAGTGTACGAGAGGAAACTGGGGAATTCTGTTTGACAGTCAACTTGATGGACTCCGTGCTAAAGCGACTGCGTCCAGTGCTCAAACAAGAAGGAGGGGAAATAGAACATGAACGATGTAAAAGAACAGAACCCGTATGAAGGTTCAGTCATTTCAATAAAAAAATTTTAGTTACGTTTCCTACTGTGACTTTATTATTTTGCAACTGATGCACCAGCAACGATTGTCAAAATCGCAAAATCGTACATTTTAACGGCATGTGGCTAATAGAAACAAAGACATAAGTGAGTATCATATCAGATACGTTGCGTCTGATGTGAGACAACATCATATTCAATCACGTGAATGAAGCTGGAAAAACGAAGGACTGAGTGAAACAAATATGACGGAACTTAGGATGTTGCACGAGCTTGGTCAATACCGGTATATAGGCTAACCCACCTTTCGAGCTTCAGTTAGGACCATCTGGAACAGATCAGGATCGGAACTCGCAACCTGAACAGTCAATCCGAGGATACTGATCAAGTGAGACATAATGAAAAAGCCACTAGACCATTCCGATTCTTCTTCCACGTGATTACGAGCTTCGCGTTGTACACCATTCATATCCTGTAAAATACGGGAAAATCATAGACATAAACAGTTCAGATCAAGAGTTAATAGCGATTCAATCTTTCTAACCCTAGACCAAACGTGTGACAAAGACAACCATACCTATGAGCCAATTCTAAATGCAATACTGGTAGGGCATCTTCTTTGTGAAGTGACCATAACAGTAACATAGAGGTCAAATACAGCTACCAACGCTCCTTTTTTATATTTACGTATGGATAGGGTTGCACGAATGCGTGTACATTTTTGAAACGGATAATTGTACATTTGACACAGAAATAAAAACATCACCTGAAAGGGTTCCGTTGGCCAAAGGAATGCTGTTAGGGACTCTGCATGATCCCTGAAAACTGATTTCTTTTCCGACAAAAAATCAGAACAGGGATTATTCCAACTCAGGTGATCGGTCACACCCAACAACCAATCACGACGGTGGACCGCGATCCAGTCAAAAAATCGGCACCTGAATGTATTTCCGTGTCCTCTTTAGTTCATATAAAAACCCTGATTAACGCAGTAATAAATCGATTCCTACGCGATATCAGCTACGTTCCATTTCTCCGACCATGGTGTCTCTATCTGAATCACAAAACATTACCAAAAGACGGTCCTTTGGATTGGTCCAGCACCCAGTTTCACTCTAACTGGGGAAGTAGTAGAGAAAGTAGACAAATTTAGCTATCTAGGCAGCTATATCTCATCCGGCGGACGCATCACAGATGAAGTGCCGGCGCGCATAGAAAAGGCTCGATTGGCATTTGCCAACTTGAGACATTTGTGGCGCCGTCGCGACATCCGGCTGTCGGTGAAGGGTCGATTGTATGCTGCAGCAGTTCGGCCAGTCCTGCTCTACGGTGCAGAGACTTGGCCCCTACGGGAACAGGATAAAAATAGATTGTCGGTGTTCGAACACCGCTGTCTACGTAGCATTGCACGTGTCTGGTGGGGTAACCGGACTAGCAATGCCGAGGTTAGGCGTAGAGTTTTAGGCAGTCGCGGTCGTCCACTAGAGCAAGTGATCGACCTCCATAGATTATGCTGATTGGGACACGTGTTACGCATGTTACCAGATAGGTTGCCACGGCGAGCGATGTTTGCCGAGACAGGTAGTGGTTGGAAAGAAACGAAGGGCGGTCAAGCTAAGACCTGGCATGAGTGTATGAAAACCCTAACCAGGAGACTAGGTCACATAGGCCCCGTTAGGCTC